CACCCCGGCTCGACAGCACACCTGGACCTGGGAGGCTCTTGGTCGCCACGGGTGCAAAGGAGAGCAGCACGTGGCTCGTCTCAGCCTCTCCTCGTGCCCTCCCTGAAGGAGATGTCTGGATGGGAGACACTTTCTGACAGCAGCAGGCTGTGAATTGAGCAGAAGGACCCAGATCCCTCAAACGTGAGGTCCCACCTGGGATGGCTTCCAGGAAGGAGTCGGGGGCAAGGCTCTGCAAAGCATGTAAAATATTATGTCCATAACTCCATGAAAAAAAAACAAGGCTGTGTTCCTTAGAGCCGACTGGCTTCCTACAACGCTGATCTTTCAGCAACAGCCTGGGTGTCTGAAGGGGCTGGTATGCAGACCACTGAAAGGGGCCACTCAGGATGATGCTGTAAGCCAAATACGCAGTGGCATTCAGGACTATTTGAAGCCAATAGCCCAGCCTGGGCCACACTTTCTATTTGTTTTTACACGTTGCGAGCTAAGTTTGGGTATGGTATGCTCGAACACACAAGCAAGCCTCTGTCTGCCTCTAAAAGGACGGGGGGGATTGCGAAGGGAAAGTACACTTTTCAAGCAAAGTCAGGTTCAGATTATGAACCAGCTTTTCATATTCGCAGGAAATACTTGATCCTCCTGCACCTTCATTCAGCTGGGCCCACAACATGGCTTTGAGGGGAGACAGCCCCCAAAGAAAATACATTTCATGTGGAGAAGGTAAAGCAAAGCCTGTGTTTTCAGCTGATTCGTAAATGAAAGATGTTTAAACAGATCAGTTTTTAAACCCAAATATAGTATTTAACCCCGCATCCCCAAAGATGCTCCAGACGTTGTTGTGGTTTGCTGGGGCTCTACCTGCCCCAGGGGTGCTGATAGAGGCAAGGTTTGATGCTTGTGTTGCCTTCAGTCCTCTTCTATGGCTTTGTGCTTTCCCTGAGTGTGAAGAGATTTCAATTTCATCTTGTACCATTGATCTACCAGTGAATCTTTGCATCTGGATTACATTTTTTAATAGTAGCTAGAGGCTATGCTGAAAAATGTGCTAAAACAACCTCATTTTTACCCTGAAAAGAACAATGGTGACAATCAACAGTGATGTCAGAATTTTACCAGTTATTAGTGACAAGTGATTTGGTTCAAAAGGGATCTGATTTGGTTCAGAAGTGACCTCAAAGTGATAGGATTTAGTTAGTCTAAAACTAGTCTGTGATCCCTTAAAACTAATAGCAACTCTTTATCCTTTATCTCCCACTCCTTCCTCTCTCCACCTGGTGGTTTCATGGAGGCTGGGAAGCAGGAGTTCTGAAGCGCTGGAGTAAAGCCTATAGTCATAATACTGCTTGGAATAAAATAAATAATAAAACCCTTGCCTGTAAGTGTGTATGCATAACTTTGCTGCGCTGTGTCTAGAGGGGGAAAAAAATGAACACTCCTGTCAGAGATAATATTCAAGCAAACCTGCCTCTCCCCATCTCCAGAGCTGCAGTTTCTGCCCCACAAGAGTTGCTTTGCTCTTCCAGGGGGTGTTGAGTAGGGAGGCAGAAATTGTGTTGTCTATAAAGATCATTTTCCCAGTACAAACCTCATCTCTAATAGGGGGATTTCTTGCTGTATCCTCACGGACCAAACAAATTAATGGTGCTGTAGGTGTCTAATGCCTCAGCTTTGAACATCCTCAGTTCTGGAGTCCCAGAGGGATGGTGGCCATCTGGTGCTGTGCTCAGTGCAGGTTGTCACTGTGGGGCCACGCATGGGACAGAGCTATCTCTTGTATGGGAAGACAATTTTTAGGCTCGAGGACTAATATTAGGCATTTGCACTCATTCAGTTTGAGTTGTGACCACAGGAAAAAATGTTTTTACAGGGCTATGAATATCGCAGAGGCTGTGGTCAGGGCAAGGGCTCAGAGTCAGGGGCAGATGGTAGGACACTGTCCTGCTCTGCTCATAACCCCGGACAGGTAAGGGGAAAAGTGGCAGAAATCTCTCCTGTCCTGCATAATGGGGAGGTGAGGGCACAGCTCAGACTAGACAGCAAGGTCTTGACCCCTGGACAAGCCCTAATCTCACCTAAAACTGGGGAAATTAAAACAATAGGCAAGACTGATGGTGCACTGAGTTTCTCACAGTTAACAAACACTTATCCACAGTGCTGAGATCACAAAGCATTTCCAAGAAATGTGATTGTTCTTCTGTTTTGTTTAAAAAAAAGACCCAAACCCCAAACTAAAAACACAGCCCTACAGCAATGACACTTGACGCAAAGGAAGATGAGCCCCCTCCATGGTTAAAGAGCTTTGGAAATGTTTCCTGTCATACTTAAAGAAAGATTGGTAGAACTAAAAGGCTTTAAAACAAATAGGAGATCACATTTTGGAGGCTTCAGCCCAAACCCTCAGCACTGTGATAATGCATAATAAAATCTTTACCTCTACAAATAAACAAAACTATTTGGAAAGAACGTTTTCCATGGATTTGCCTTTGAGTGTGAAGGCAGGAAACTGCTGGAGGTCTCTTGTAACAGAAGACCCATAACTATACTCTGCAGAAGTTACTTTATTTCCCACCCTAAAAAGAGGCGGAATCTGTAAAAACTCATACTGGGGAGGAGTGAGACCAAACATACTTCAAATTTACTCTGCATAAAAAATGTATCCTTGAAATCTGGAGCTGTTCAGAAGCCAGGCAGGTTTTGAGTGGATTGCAGAAACATAACTTACAGTGATGCCATCTTTTGCCAAAGCTGTAATTTCAGCATCAATAAATTTCATGTTTTCCTTGCAATGAGGTCTCTCCTCATAAACTGAGCAGCCACTGGCACTGGTTACCATCCCAGCCCTCTTCTGGCCACCGGTTTGGCCATGAACTGGGCAATTCCGCACACATTTCTCAGTTTCCCATCTGTAGAAAAGGGATAATCATCCCTGCCCACCTCTGCGGAACCCACTAAGGCCCCTGGATGGAAAGCTGTGTAGAAAGAAAGTAGATCTCTCTGATCTTGGTGAGTGTGACTTACCATGGCCTTAGCAGTGTGGGTTCAGCTGGGCTTGCAAAGAAATTCTCAGCTGGGGTTGAAGCCATGGCCTTGGGTTGAAATAAAACTCATTAAAGTGACCATGGCCTGAATGACCACTTCCACTCTTTCCCAGGATGCTCAGCCTTCTAATGTCCTTTTTTTTTTTCAGATTTGAGCATTTCTTTCGAACCAGAGGATGGCAGAGAGAATACATTATCCACAGCAGTGTGAGCTCTGACCAAGAGCCAGTCCCCAGGGGTACCCCAAAGCTGCCTTCAGCCTCCTGACAACCACAGGGCAGCAGTTGTACTGCTGTCATCAGGTCTTTGAAGAATATGAGTCCAATTTCTTCCCCAGCTTGTTATGAGGTTGGCTGAAATGCCGAGTAATCGCCAAACAGTGAAAAAAAAAAAAAGAAAAGAATCCTTTCCCTTTTCTTCTCCTGTTCAGCTGCCCTTAGCTCTTATTCGCAAACAGTTTCCCACAGATGCAAGACTGAAAAACACAGTGACATCCTTAATTGGGAAAAAAAAAAGAAAGAAAACCACATGACTTCAAAACCTGGGGACTTAAGTAATAAACTGTCAGATTTGATAAGATTCCAAAGAAAACCATGGGAATACGCAATGGGACCCAACTGCACTGACCCTGCCCTGCCCTGAAATGCCTTTGTGCTGCAGAGATCCCTGGCTCTGGAGGGATCTGCACATAAAGGCATGGCCAGTCTTTTATGGACCATCTGATTTAAGTTATGAGTTGACCCTGTCTCAGATGCGGTGTCTCCAGGGGCATTCAGCTACTTGTATTTCATACTGTTGCTGCCCAAAACGCCTGACTTTCTCTTAAAACACATCACTGTGGAACTTCGATGGCATTTGGGAACATCCACTCAGCCAGATCGAAGCTTTCCAGCACACCTCCCATAACATAACTGGATGTGTAATACTCGCTGTGGACTTGGAGGGCTACAGAACAGCTATTTCCTGGCACTGAGGTGGAATTTCTGCATTTCATTTCATAAGGACAATCAAGAAAACCCTCTGCCTAAGCACTGCGGGGCCCTGATGCCATGCTGGCTAGGAATGCTCCTGGAAGCATGAAAGAATAAAATCAGTGAGTATTTTTGGGATGCTGAACCCAGGCACGCTGGCACACAAGTCCCCTGAGAGATGGCTTAGTGCACCCAACTCTGGTGTTACGTTTACCTGCATTGACCTGCTGGAGAGACCTCACCCTGCTGTGGTAGACCAGACCCTTCCCAGGAAGCCAGAAACTTGGGTCAATCTGCTCCCCAGAAGGCCTAGAAGATGACTTTTCTGTCCCATAGAGTGGGGAAAAGAGACGGGAAAAGGGGGTTTTGATGAGAATGGTAATAAATCTATAGCAAAGAGCACATTTAGTAAGTTCAAGGAGGGGTAGACAGTCTGACGTCCTGCACGGTGGAGAAGTCACCAGGCTCAGATCTCTCTATTGCTTTTCTTTTCCAGGAGCTGACGGACATAAATCACAACAGCTTTCCATGGAACTGGGAGTCAATCTGCAAATCTCAGCCAGCAACCGTGACCCTTGGAGTCCCACCACCCTCCTGGTCCCAGAGGCCAGGGCTGCTCAAGCCTCAGCTCCCAGGAGCGCTTCCAAGGAATGGTGACTTTGCTGGCAAGGAACGAGCCGCTTCAAACAGAGGAATTTGGATGCCTCACTGCAAAAACAGTGGGTCAAGTTTAAGGTGAAATTCTTGGCCCCCTGCTTTTGTTTCTGATGATTTTTGGAGGACAAAGCTGCACCCTGCTTGGGAGCCCTCCTCTCCCCGTACACCTCACCCACGGGACACCACCTGCCCGCAGCAGCATCCGTGCTTACATTTCCCATCTGGGGATGCGCAAGCAGCTACAGATCTGTTAGAAAAAGCAACACCATTTTGCTTTCTTTATTATTGAGAAAGCAAAGGCCTCATGTGACTTTGTAGATGACTTAACACATTTATAGACCAGGAAGGAAGTGGAGCAGCACTGCTCGCTTCGCTTTCCAGTGGGGCGGCTGCTGCAAATTCAACCTCCGTAGCTCGCAGCCGGGCGGAGGGGTGACAAAATGACTGCCCAAACCCCCACCGAGCCCCCCAGATGTTGCTTCTTCAGCATCAAGACAGCAACAGTGGCCCTGGGGATCTTCCACATGGTGAGTTACAGGACTGGGAAGGGGGGACAGGGAGAGGGAGACAAGGAAAGAGAGGCGGAGGTACGATCTTTGCAGAAGGTGCAGTCATTGCAGATCACAAGTTTTCCTGAGTGCTGACCTCTCCGTGTTCCCAAAAGAGAAAACCCAATGATTTAGAAGGGGGGGGCAGGAAAAGATTTATTACACTGGGAGGTCTTTTTAACTATTTTTTCCCCTGTCTTTACCAACTGGGGCTCGTGGAAACTCGCTCTGCTTCCTGTTTTTCCCTTGCAGCTTACTGCAGGAGCTCTTACCGTGCAGGGCGTTTGGCTTGGCCAGGACTGGACCCTTTGGTTAGAAATTGGGCAGACAGTGGTGATGCAAAGGGTGGGTGGGCTGAAATGATGGGTCACTGGAGGGAGGAGGAATTTAGGTCCCGGGCAAGAAAAGGGTGGGTGGGCAAAGCTGCCTCATGTCTCTCTCTATGGCCTTTTGGACACAATCTGCAGAGTTTTGGTGTCCGTTTGGGTCTGTGGGTGTGTTCAGCAGCCAGGGGTGGTTGCAGATGGCAGCGAGCAGAGGCAGCACAGCCTGGAGGGACATTTCTTCCCCACCACCTGGTTGCACAGAGGTGCTTTCAAGTTGCTTCAAGTCGTACTGAGGATGTGGTTTCTCGCACAGCAGAGGCACTTAAAATAATCCCATCTGCAGCAGTCGGGGTGCACGGTCCCAGGCTGGGAGCCGTCAGGGTGATAACGGTTAATGGGGGCTCTCACCCCCCTCCTTGCACAGGAGGGGTGGGGGGAACCCTACCCTGCACATATGTGCTGAGGATGGCAGCTGTGCCATGCAGGGGAAGGACATGCCATGGTCCCCTTGCACCCCCAGTCTGCTTTCCTGGGGCAGGAGGAGCAATTCAAGCTGCCCGAGCAAATCCTCACTGCACCATAGACCCCTCCGCACTCACACCAAGCCCAGAGGCTCTGGTTTAATGGTTTTGACCTCCACACTGCCATTCCTCCTCTGTGTATTCACACTCTCGTATGCAGAAACACTAAATGGCAAATAGTCTTTCAGATAAGCTTAATTTTTGAAGTGTGTGGGAAAACATTGCTTATTTCTCATAGGAATATTTCAGTTTCTTATGTTCAGTCTCTATTGGCAGCTCAGTTTGGTTAAATGAACTGCAACTCCTCTACTTAAAATCTGCCAGTGGGGGTAAATAATGAAGGAGGATCCTTCTTTAGTCTTTTTCCTCTTCCTTAAAAACTAACAAACAGAAATTTAGTACCTGTGAAAAAGGGGATGACATACTATAAGTAGCATGTACTGTCTGATACCGTATAGCAGCCCACATCATTTTATAAGGTGATCTAACTAAGCCAGGGAAAAGGAACTTCCCTGCTCTTAACTGTTGCGTAAAACCCTCTGAAGAATTTCAGCAGAGAGCTATAGGACTTAAGAGTGTTTGAATATGATTTTCTTGGGCTATTTCAGCAACTCAGCCCTTCTGAAGGCATTCATCAGGATTCGACTCATGAAATGAAAGGCAAAAAATTCTGGAGACCAGGTTAGTTGTTTTTTCAGATAGTAAGGTAAAGGGAAAGCAGTCAGTGAATGGTAGGATTTTACAAACCCGCCAGGAGCAGCAGCACTGGGGGCTGCCGGAGGCAGCGAGGGAGGGGGATGGCTGATCTTGGGCTCAAACCTCCTTGGTTTGGGGCAGGAGATGGCCCCGTCGCAGCCCAGAGCAGAGAAACTCGGGTCTACTTCACATCTTCATGGTAACTATAAACAGCTTTCCTCTGGCATTACTTGAAAGCCAGGCACTGTAGTGGTGTTTCCATGCCATATTTTAATCTTTTGGGGACATCAAAAACATTATGAGATAGGTTAAAGGAATCATGCAATTTTATAGCCTCTTTTGCCTTCTGCTTTTCGAGCATCTAGATTACACCCTGGGCAGGCTGCTCATCTTTTTGCCACAGGCTCAAAGCTTATAATCTCACTGCTTTAAAGAAAAAGAAATTGCTGCATTTCTTGTGCATTCTCATGACCCCAAGACACAAAAATTGAAACATATGAAAGCTGAGAGTCTGCGGCAGAGCACAAGCAATTCCTGACAACCAATTAGAGATACAGCCATCAGAGAGGGATGGTCAGGAACTGTTCAGAAATGGGACCCTCATGGGAAGTATGGCCAAGATCTGATGAGGAGCTGAAAAAATTGCAGGTCTGTGCGAAGGTGGGAAACACAAGACAGGGAACTACAGCACATTTTCTCCAGAGGGCCACAAGCCCCCTGTGTGACGTGGGCTACCTGTTATCAGCAGTGAAATAGAGGAACAGAAAGTGAATTCTATTTTCCTAGCTGGGAGGGTGAATCACAAAAAAAGCCTCCTTTGTCTTTCTCAGAAGTCAGCAAATGCTTTGAACACTGGCACATTTTTCTCCTAAGTGTTTCACTATGATGCCATGAACAACAACAACAGAGATTCCTGATTTACACCAGTGCATGATGGAAGAGAATGAGACACCACTCTCAGTGCTGGTGGCCAACAGGGAAAGTTTAATTACCAGAGACATCATATGGAAGATGTGTTCTTTTGAAAAATTTTTGTGGGTCTGTGAAAGGCAGTAGGTAATGTTTGAACAGGGAAAGGCAGAGAGCCTTGGAGTGAAACCTCACAGTGCCCACGAGAAAGGGTTTGCAGAAGAGGTGCAAAGGTCCACTCAGGGCAGGCAAGAGAAGATGCTTATCTTTGCAAGATGGTAGAGGCAGAAATCATGTCCTGAGTCAGCCCCACTGTCCGGCAACCTCCCAGCCTGTTTCCAACGGCAGCAACTGCTTAGAGAAGGTACTGGAAGAAGGCAGGTACCGAGTGATCCCTGCCCTGTGCATCCTCTGCAGTCAGTACGTCAGAGCTTCTTGATTTTGAGGTTAGATGAAAGCTGTCGTGTTTACTAACTGTTGTGTTTAATAGTCTCCAGCTCTGTTCTGTTCATTTTTTTTCTTTTCAACTGTTTTTTTTTCCCAAGTTTGACAAATCCTAGTGTCACAGGGCTCTCTATGAGCAGAGACTGTTTCATGCAAGTTCTTTTTTATTGCTGTGAATCTTATCCCTCTCCTGACTGTTAGCGATGGTGACGTGGCTCAAGTCAGAAATTATGTGTAGTATAGTTGTGGTGTTGCAGTTTATACCTTATCCTATATAAATAAAAGGATAGGTAATGGCTTCAAACTGGAAGAGGGGAGATTGAGCTGAGATGTGGGGAAGAACTTGTTTGGTGTGAGGGTGGTGAGAGCCTGGCCCAGGTTGCCCAGAGAAGCTGTGGCTGCCCCATCCCTGGAGGGGTTCAATGGCAGGTTGGAGGGGCTTGGAGCATCCTGGTGTGGTGGGAGGTGTCCCTGCCCAGGGGACACCTTTAAGGTCCCTTCCAACCCAAACCATTCTGTGATTCTATGAGCTTGACATACAAGGTCAGTGCAGGGCCAGGGAACACTGGCAACATACATGCAACTTGGGTCAAGACTAAGGAGCCAGAGATGCTCTTGAAGGCTGGGGTTGAACCACTAAAGGATATAGGCAATGGCCAGGGGCAATCTGAGCCCTCAGCTCTTTGACCCTGCTGCTGCTGGCTCCTGAAGGAGTGACCATCATTGCAATACCAGAGCCCATAACTCCACAGGTCCCACGGGTCCCAGTGTGTCTGTACCTACTGTATCATCTCAGTGGGTTTCTTTTGCACACTTGGTAAACAGTTTGAATTTTGGAGAAGGTTGTCTTATCTTACTGCTTTAAGACATAACACAGAATAGCAAATACTTTTCCCTACCTCTTCTCCACCTTTTTGATCATGTAGCTGCATCTGGGAATAGGGAGGGAAAAGGGGATTTATAACTCAGCAGTGACTTGGATGATTTCCTACATCAATACTGTTGGTTTGTATCAGTATAAATTATTGCTGTGGGTCCTAGAGATGAATCATAGTGATGCTGGATGATAGCAATGCCATCAAACACAGGCTCTCAGGCTTTGTGGCAATGTCTTGTCCACCAATAAATTAGATTTGTCTCACTGCTGATCTCTCCATAGACAGTTGAAATAAATCATGGGCATTCTCAAACAGATGGGGAAGGAGAAAGAGGGGAACTAGGAGGGGACAGGGGATTTATAACTCAGCAGTGACTTGGATGATTTCCTACATCAATACTGTTGGTTTGTATCAGTATAAATTATTGCTGTGGGTCCTAGAGATGAATCATAGTGATGCTGGATGATAGCAATGCCATCAAACACAGGCTCTCAGGCTTTGTGGCAATGTCTTGTCCACCAATAAATTAGATTTGTCTCACTGCTGATCTCTCCATAGACAGTTGAAATAAATCATGGGCATTCTCAAACAGATGGGGAAGGAGAAAGAGGGGAACAAGGAGGGGACAGAATTGTGCAGTTAGCAAAGCTTCACTGGGTGTTGTGAGGTGACTCGCAGCTGACTTTAAAAGAAACCATGGAGGAATTTGTCCTGCTCATCAACTCCTCCCAGGCATGGGTACCTCAAATTATTTGACACTAGCTTCAAGAACAAGGCTGGAAAGTTGCTTCTGTGCATACAGCATGGGCAGAAAAACCTGCAATTCATTTGATTAGAGCCAAAGGAGGTTTTAGAAAGCAGCGTGTCTGTAGCTTGGTCTGGCCTCCGTGGCAGCCAAGCTCTTCTCTTTGGCAGCTCTTTAGCTCAGGGAGCAGAGTCTCATCTCTGGGACCTTCCCCGGCTCCAGTCCTCACCTGTAGATGTGACTCGTGTGGGTACAGAGCAGTGATTCACTGCACCTTCAGCAGGCTGTGGCTGACCCTAGACGTTCAGCAGACCCTCTGCTGCTCCCTCCTCCTTGCACAAACAAGTCAGGGAGAAGGAGGCAGCAGGAAGGAAAAAATGAAATGTTTTGAAGAGAAACCACCTGGGAGCTAAAAACTCTCCTCGCTTCATCCTACCCTGCCACAACAACCACTTCTAAATTACAGTAAAAAAAGGCAAAGCACTGAAAATATGGCATTTATATGTTGTACTATTTGCCTTCAAAATGCTGGGTGTCACCTGCTTGTGTGCACCGCTGACAGAAACCCTCACAGCACTGTTGGAGCATGTCACTGTCCCCCCTTGACCCCCGCTCATTATGGCTTCAAGCTCTTCTTGTGTGAATAGAAAGGAGCAGCCACCACACCAAGGTGTGCACATAAAGACAAATTATTTGGAGATTAGTGAAGCTGCACGTATTTCGGAAAAAAAAACCAGCCCATGACACAACCTCTAACAGCAGTTTAACTCTACTGCAGCTGCAGCAGAATTATTCACCAAGGAATGGGGGATGCATCATGCTGTTCAGAATCTGCCTTGCAAGACACCCCCAATTTAGCTGCCTTGGTTTAACAACTGGCTCTACCACAGTCCTACACTGTTTGGCTGAGTCGCTTCATTTCCTGGTGTTACAAATCTTCTACCGAGAAACTTGAAGCACTCCTTTTAAACGGAGGCAGCAATAAGATAAGATGTGTCCTCCAAAAGCTGCAGCTGTAGGAGATAAAATAAGAAGGGCTGGCTGGTGGAGATGGCAGCACACCCTGCGAGCTGCCAATTGAGTGCTGGGAGGTGAAACTTCCTATTTTAAGTCTGCCTCTCTCCTCTCTTCTCATGACATAGCAATAAGAAAGGGAGCTGGATGCTTGTCTGAGCGGTCCTGTCTGCCTGAAATGGGAACCTTTCAGTTTCTTCTGCAGCTGAAAGGTGAATCTCGAGCAAGAACATATGCAGCCTTGCAGAGCAAGGAGTGCTGGGCAGACACCACATCAATCTCTCTCCACCTTCTTCTCAGCTTGATGCCAGCAGCCTGCTGGGGGGGTTTCATCACCTTGTACGTATTGTCTACAAGAATAAATGAGATATTGTCACATGCCAGGCAGCAGTGTGCCAAACCCAAAGTCAGGAGATGGAGACGTGTCCTAGACCTCACGCAGCCCTTGTGATGGAGAGCTGGGGGAAAGGCATGCAGATTCTTGTCTGTTTTATCTCATTGCAGTTCAGTGTTTCTATGCAAAACCCCCTTTAAATAGAAAGTTCAAACCAACTTTATTTTTAGAAGTTTTCTCCTTAATCTGTCAGCTTGGCCTTGGGGCTTCTGCCTGACATGTACTTATTTTATAGCCCTGCCGTTGGTCTGGTTGTGTGGTTCATTTGCAAGATAACTCTTTCATTTGCAAGGAACTCTTTTTCTCTGCTGTTCCCCTCTTAAATAGACATTAGAGATGGTTCCTCATACTGAAGTTTAGGCTCTGGCTTTTCTCTGTCTGTAAATCCAACTGGGATGGGAACATTCGGGATGTGATGTCGTCCTGTCACTCACTTGGCTTGCAGAAGTGAAACTGATGGTTAGGGCTCAGGTCATCCATTTTTTTCAGGCCCCATTTATCAGAAACCTGAAAAGGCAATTTCTTCCTATATTTTCCATGTTGACATTTGAGGGGTTTGACCAGCAAATCTCTCCAGGAGCATGTACATGAAAACTCTCAGACAAGTTAGGGTACTTGAAGTCAGCATGTGATCTCCATGTGCAGTTAGTTATGAGATCCTTTACATCCCAGGAGAGACCATCAAGCATAAAGAAACTTGAGATTGGTACAATTTCATCCTTGACAAGGTTCAGTGCTTTCATGGGTTTTCAAACACTGTTACTTTGAACTGAATTTGTGTTAACTTTCTTGTGTTCCCATGTAATGAGATCTAGGTATTTCTCCTTTTCCTATCAGCCTCATGAGTGAATTGCAAAGTTTGTTTACAGCATGACAAAAAAATGAATAAAAGCAGTGTGTCTTGTGTGGCTGTTGAACACCCTGATATCAGGCAGGCCAGGAGATGACACATTCTTTCTTCCAACTCAGACTCCAGGTAGATTTTAGGATCAGAGGGAAGGTTAGTAGTGGGACACAGGGTCTCAGTCCCCACTGCAGAGGGAGTGTGGCTTGGTTGACTTGACTCTTGAGTCTTCACTTGGCTTTTGACTTTGACTTCACAATACTTGACTCTTCACTCACTCCAGAAGCAAAGGGCTCTGGGGGATGTTTCTTCTGGAAACTGCACTTGCACCTTGTGGCACAGAAAGTTGATAAATTTGGTTTTGAAGACGGTTTCTAGCTCCCCTGCAGCTAACACAGAGACAGTGGGAGAGTGAGCATTCAGTTCCTGTCTCTGCTGCAGGCCATCCCTCCCAGCCTTGCTTCCCCATTTCTGGGGCAACAAGAAGCCTTTCTTTCCATGCCTTTTGGTTGTGTTTGCCTGCAGTGTCAGCCCTCGCACATCTGACTACACCTTACTCCAGCCTGAGCTTTATCAGGATCTTGTGTGGCACCTTCAGCCATTTCTCTGCAAATGACAAAAAATATCGTTTCTTCTCCTCACTTGACAGTTCGGTTTGCCCCATCTCCCTGCAGTTGCTGGTTTTCTGCTGTTTCCCACACACAAAGTTCGCAAACACGAGCCCAAACCACAGAAGTTCCGCTTCCTCCTTGCCTGCATCATTTCGTTAACTGGTTGTTGAGACAAAAAGCTGCTGTAGCTGTTCTGGAGGAGTTGTTTCAGCTCCACGGTACCCGAGTTTGAGTTGATCTTGGTGGCAGATAGGAACTTGCTTCCTGCATCTGTGTGGGGTTCAGAGGAGTCACAGAGAGAGGCTGTACAGTCCGGGTGAAATGGCTTCTCTCATTCATCTCTTCATGACAACCTCTTTGTTGTTGATGCTACTTTTGTTGATGGCTCCTGTCCCTGGAAGATAGTCTACAGACGGGTGCTCCCAATGCTGGACCTGGTGTTGGTGGGGTGAAGACGGAGGGTCATGTTGGCACAGGTTTCTCCACTTTTTGTCCACCTGGGGATTTCCTCTCCTGCAGACTTGGTTCCCACGTCTCTGAGGGAAAAACGCAGTAGGCATGATGGTCCCTGCATCTCTCCTGGTCTGACTCCTGCTCTCTGCCCTCAGGGTGGGCCTTGGTGTTGTGGCAAGAGGGCCTTCTAGAGAGGGAACTCAGGCAGAGAAGTGGTGGCAGGTCTTTTGCACAGCAGCAGAGAGGTCAGGGAGCTTGTCCAGCCAGTGAGACACAGCTGCAGCATGATGAGCCCATGTTTCCTGCATCGGGGAACGCAGCAGCAGGCTTCCTCCCCAGCCACCCACGCTGTTAAGGCAATTTAAAATAACACAGCACGCATGATGTTGCTTTTGGGAAGTGCAGCTGCAGGTACAGGACTGGCAGACCATGCTGTGCTCCAGCTTGCTACAGCCGAAAAACATAGAAGAAATGGAAGACATGCCAAGCATTAGAGAGGACAGCAGAGATCAGAGAGGGAGGAAGGAAACAATGAACAAGATGGGATGTGTGATGGAGTCAGAAATGTGCCGTCTCACTATACAGTGCTGAAACTGCCAGGAAAGTGATGAAGGAGCAATAAATGGCATCAGAGTAGTCCTTTACCCTGAGAGGCATTATCTGCTCTGACAACACTGTGGGTTGGACTTCTTGTTCTTGGGTTGGCAACAACTTTGTTCCCCTTGGCATGTGCTGTCTGTAGCGTCCATACTGGCAGGGTGAGATTCACCCCAGGAGGGATGTGGTGTGTTGTCTGGTCTTGTGGCTACTCACATCCTGGTTTTACGTGCATGGAAATACCCTGGACCTGCTGTCTGAGGTGCTCCATGGTGAGGTCTCCAGCCTTATCGAGGACTTCTTCAGCCTCTGACTGTCCAGTGCCCCACAGTGAACAAGAGCTCTCCCTAACCTGGGAGTTAGAAATTGATTTTTCACTACAGATCATCACCGTTTGGGTATAGAAGTACAGTGCTAGGACTGAGAGCACAGCTCTAGACCTCACTCCATCTCGCAGCTTGCTAAACTCACAATGGGATCAACCATGGAGTCCAGGGTTTGATAGTCCGACTTGGAAACTTGGTTGGGAAGGGAGAGAAAATTATTTTGGTTTGATATGAAAAAAGCACATATGGAGGTTTTTCTCAAATCAAAAAAAGAAGGAAAACTAAAATTTTGTCAGTGAAGTTGCATAGGTAGACTTACAGATGGCTGTTTATTCTTTCTGTGTTTCTTTTTACACTTCATACTATTGTTACATTTACCTCAATTATAAAATGTAAAGCCAGAATTTTCTGGATAAACCGTGTTGGAACAAAGCTCATTAACTTCATAATTCCTCCATCCTCCTTCAGAAGCTGGCAGAAAAAGACAGTTAAACCCAAACCATTAATAAACTGGTAACTTTTGCCTCAATGTTTCCTTGTAAAGGATTTTAAACCCTTCACAACTGTCTCACTTGGAGACCCATCCCGCATTAAGGACTGTGGCTATTGCATGCTCCCTGGAAACAAATTTGTTGACAGGAAGTTGGCCCAAGGCCCACTGAATTGTGTCTTTTGCTGTTGTTCTCCCAGGTGATGAGCGTTTTGCTGCTGATTGAGTACTCCCTGGAGGTGGCGAGCGGGAAAGGCTTTTGCAAAGACCTGGACAAGGATTACTACAGAATTGGTAGGTCACTGGGATGCTGGAAAGCACCAAGGGCCTGTGGGGTTGAGAGGGACCCCAAGATCCTGCATTGGTCCCTCTTTCTTTTTCATCCAAAAAAATTGGAAACTGGCATTCAGAGCAGGTGGGCCAAAAGCTTAGACCCAGGAACTAGATTTAACCTCTAAAGCTTTGGACTTTGGTTTAGGCCATGGCTGTGTTGGCTTTTGGGAAACCAGTGAGGACCCCAGAGAATTTGTCTCTATTTTAGTGGATCAGACCCTCAGCCCAAAGTCTCCAGTACCCTCATAATCTTCCAGCCTTCCCACTGCAATGCACTTTGCATTAATCTGACAATCCTTTTTTCTCCTTCTCATTCTTTTCACCAATTGTAGATCATTTAAGCCTTATAGACACCATTGACTCCCTTCATATGTCAGGCATTTTCCAGGAAAACACTGAAGTGTCTGACCAGCTCCTCAGTGGACCTATTCTGGCCACTGACCTCAGGGTCCTGGAGTGGGGAGAAATCACAACCCCACACAACATCCCGTGGGTGCATGGGCTACCTGATGTTGCCACCAACACCCTGCCCTCTGTGCTGTGGACCCACCCTCATCTCATCATCCATCTTGCCATGACAATGTCTCCTATCTCACAGCTGAAGTCCCTTCAGAGTGCCAGACTAGCCCACCTCCTTTTCCCCCATGTCCCTTTGGCCCACACCCCCAGATTTTTCCCAACCCCTGGTGTTTTTTGCAGAACATTAGATGTCTGGAAGAAGTAGCCAGGCTATTTCGTATCCCACAAATTGTTACAAGCATCATATCTGTCATGGCTGATTGAATTCCTATGGCTTGAGTTTGGAAGTTTATCTTTCAGGGACCGGTCCGATAACTCACGAGGAGTGCTATTTTAAAGAATGCAACTCCCCAAACCTCAAATATTACTTGACCAAGCTAATTCTGTATAAAGCTGTTTGGAAGCAACATAAAGATGGAACTTTTTCCTTTTCTTAGTCACTTTTCAGTGTAAAACCACAAGTTGAGATAACCCTTGTCTGCTGTGTGCAGAGAAACAGAAATCCACACCCTGCATTGTCTCTCCCTACGGAGAAGGATCAGAATCAGAGGAAAATGCAACCCACAGCAGCAAGGACTTGCTCGTTCCCTGCTTTTCCAGTATGTCCTTCCCCAGGCTGCAAGCATGCACAGAGAGACCCTCTGTAAGTGGAGGAAAAGGAAACCAAGTACAGCAGATTCCTGCACATCCCGAAGTCACTTGTTCCCAGGGTAGAAGTTGGACTTAGTGGAAAGCACCAAGACAGGCTCTCTCACTGTCTGGGTGAAGTTATTGCTAACAGATGGGTTCACATTTTTCAAAAGAGCCCAGCTGGGTTTTGGGAGGCACCACTGTGATCCACCAAAGCTGTTTTGAAAGGCGTCAACGGCGAGCAGAAAATGGAAATTTGGGTGAGTCCTGCTAAGAGGACATCAACCAAGGAGCTGCTGTCACGGTTCACAGCTTTCACACAGGGCATGATGTCCAAAGTAGTCCAGTCTGGGTGGGATGGAGGCTACTTTTCTTAGCTGTGGTCCCTCTGCAGCTGTGGCCCTTCTCAACACCCCATGCAGACTTGCATGATGACTGCTTTGGAAAATGCTTTTTCCAGAGCTTTCCCATTAAGGCAACGTGTAACACACCCAACAAGCTCCAAAACCTGGCTCTTTTCCGGGTGGCTGGGATCAGCACATCAGTAGAAGAATCCAGTTTTCCATTTCTGTAATATATGTTTCTAGTTTTAATTTTATAGCTAAAACCTGCAGAACCAGGTGCAAGTGTGACCTTAAGGTCTTCCTCCTTTTTTTGGGTTTGTTGTTGCGGTTTGGGGTTTTTTGATGTACCTGGAAAATTGGAAATGGGCATAGTTGGAAATATTTTTTCCTGATGGTGGAATATGAAAATGCACTGTGACTAATAAAATGATCTGAACTGCTGAAAACTGAACAGGATATTTGCATATCAGAATACTTTCCCACAGATACAGTTACATAAAAATGACAATTGTTTTCATTGCTTTTTGCAGAAAGATCACCCAAGGCCAATAATTTTAACTTTTCTTCAAGTATCTAAGTAAAAATATTCTTTAAAGAATCATTGAGACAGATTTTTCAGATGATTTCTATACAAAACCATTATATGCTTTCTAAGAAAGACATGCATTTCTGCAAATATCGAGGGTTTTCTTTAAGAATAGAACTGTTCTGAGTGAAATTGGCCCCATTTTTAACAACCCCCTTCTTCCCACACAATCAAAATGACAGGTCTTTCCCCTCCCCCCTCTTCCACTGCCTCCTACACAAAAAAGGAACATTTATAATGAAATCCCCAGCACTTCCACTTGGCTTCTCTTCCCAAGCATTTCAAAGGGCTCTGCTTGGGAGATTGTGAGTGTTTTCAGATTACGGTTGGAATAAACACAGCGCAACCCTTCTATTTCCAGAAACTAGCAGGGAAGCAATACAGCAAAGCAGTACAAAAAGTTCAATTTGACTTCAAAACCCAGATGGAAGAGTTGGAGAACAATTTGGGGAGAGGTTCTGTCGATGCCCTCAGCATCTGCTGCTCTATTTGTAGATCCTGCCAGATTAAAGCACGTCTCTGAATATATAATGCCAACGCTGTAGTCATGGCCCAAGAATATAAATAAGGCGAGGTTTATGGGAAAATGCTTTTCACTAGATAAAGTAGGAAAAAATACATATGGGAGTTTTTTATAAGGAATCAGAGCTCCCTCAAGATTTCTCAGTAATACGTTTTCTTGCCTTATAAAGAGGGTATGGCATGGGCCTTGACTTCTACAGGTATGGTCAGGGAGGGGAAGGAGAACTGGGACTTTTGTAGGTTTTTGCAATTGCCAGGGTAATGGGAAGGGTGAATGGGTCAGCTGCCCTTAGAAGAGAGATTCTCTGTCCCTTGCAGACTGCTATTCCTTGCTTTATTGGCTTACAAGTTGCCACAGGCAGGACAGGACTGAGACTGCTCCTCTGAAATTTGTTCCTCTGAAATTTGCTTTTCAATGGAAGTTGACCAAAAAATTAATAAAAGACCTGCTGAAAATGATGGATTAAAATAGGAAGAAGACGCAAGTTCTTCTTTATCTTTGTGAGCCTTGAAGATGATTTTCCCACCCCTAATGGGGTCAATGACAGGTCAATGCTAATCGAAAGTGAATCTAAATTTCACACTTGACTAATATTTAAGAAACAACACAGGATCAATTTGGCCAGGCAAAGGGAAGAAGAGAAAAACTTCACTGTGTGGTGATTTGGGGCACTCAGTTGCAATCTGGAAGAATTAAGTTCACATCTCTCTTCTCCATCTCACATAGAAACTTGGATGTTCTTCTCTCTATCTCAAGCAGAAACTTGGATGTGCATTTCCCATGCAACCTCCCCCATTTCCAGTCTATTAGAAATCTCATTCTGGAGCTGAGAAACCTTCCTAGCAAACGCCTTCTTGGCAGTGCTTCATTCCTGAAAGCATATGAGCTTTGGCAGACCAGCTTTTCCTGCTGGAAAAAAAGAAAACCAAAAAGCAATCCCCCAAAAAACATTTCAATTAAAATCTCCTTACCTATCCTAAGCTTCTAACAATGAATGGTTTCTGCCTTGAAAATGTTACACCCCACTGCTTGCCATAGGTCAGATCTTTAGGATGTCTTCGATTCATTCCTGTGCACGGTCTGAGTGTTAATCACTTTGATTTGTCATTAATGACTGTAAAAATTGTCACTGTGGACAAAGTACAACTGGAGAAGTTGTTTCAGTTTCTATCCAGTCAGCCAAGAAAAATACCTCAGTTATGCCTGAAGACCCGTGTGTGCAGCATATACCATACCCCCTGCATACCATACCCTGTGCAGAAAATACTCCCTCCTTCTCTAATGAAAAGCAAATCAGGCCAAAGGGACTGGGAGGCTTCTTTCCCTTGCTGGTTCTGCCCATCCTGTCCAGAAACAGTTCCCCACAGCTTATCAGCAGCACCGAATGGGACACTGCCGTCCTTGACAATCTGTGAATGCAACTGTTAAACCACAGCTTTATGAGCCCTGCTTGTATTTCCCGTGCCAGCTTAGGGGGCTGTAGAACAGAAAGGGGTTTCTCTGCATTCATGGGAAATATTAGGAGTCATTCAATGTCCCTCCTGGCTACATCCAGGGCACGAATGCTGATGGGAAGTTGATAAAAAATAGACATTTGGCAAACAAATCCTCTCTCTCCCTGCTGGACGGGTGAGTTTTTCAGTACTACTTGGCTGGCATTGCAAACGTCGAGCGCAGCTCTGCTGAGGCTCTGTCACCTGCCCCCATCCTGGTTGCACCCGCAGGAAAAATGGCATTTACTTCACAGCACTTCTATATTCCTTCTCATTAAATTCCCTGGGATCTCTAGCAGACTCAGGTAATCTCAGAGATTTTGAGTAAGAAAAAGTGTAAGAAAGAGCATGTTTATTTATTTGTTTTTGCTGTTTATTCCTGTATCCTTTTGCAAAGAGGTCTGCCTTGAAGGGGGTCAGCTCTCACCACACTCACTGCCAGCACGCGGGTGGCTCTGGAACTGAAATATTCCTGTAGGTAGTATATTCTAGGGCTCCAGGACTGAAGTAGGCTTTGGGAGGAGTAACATTTCTTCCCTGCCTGATCTTGTAACCATCGAATCAGAGCAGAAGGTGGATCCCTGGAGGTTCACAGATTCACAGATTTGACAGAGTTGGAAGGGACCTCTAGAGATCACCCAGTCCAACTCCCCTGCCAAAGCAGGGTTGTCCAGAGCTCATCACTCAGGAGCATCTAGGCAGGGACTGAAGATCTCCAGAGAAGGGGACTCCACACCCTCCCTGGGCAGCCTCTGCCAGGGCTCTGACACCCTCACCCCAAAGAAGTTCTTCCTCATTTTTCTTCCCATGTTCCAGCTTGCGTCCATTGCCCCTCGTCCTATCGCTGGAAACCACTGAAAAGAGTC